CCAGTACTAAGAAAATGGAATATCAGGGTGATAACAAAGAAGAAGAAAACACTTTTCACAAGTCTGCCGAGGCAACACGTGAAGACTGACAAATTTGATTGCTCAGGAGTTTATTGTGTCAAATGCGGTAGCTGTGAGCAGAAGTATATCGGTCAAACAGGAAGAAAAATCTGCCTACAAATCAAGGAACATCAAAGACTCTGCAGAAACATGGATACGAAAAGATCCGAAATAGCCGAACACATTGCACCAACGGGGAAACAAATAGACTGAAAATCGAGCGAAATGTTGGCTGCATGTGGTGAAGATACAAGAAAACGCAAGATCCGAGAGGCCATCGAAATACTGACCGAGAGAGATCTAATGACCAGGAGACTTGAAGAAGGCAGGATAAGGGGAAACTTTGCATATTGCCTAAACAAACTCAGAAAAGACCATGCAATAGCAGGATCAGCAAAAAGACGACTGGATCAAGGCCGTACACAGACCACCCGACTTATTTAGCCCCCCTCCACCCAGTTTGTCAGTTGTTCCCTTATACACATGGAAATCACCGTCTAGCTGCCTATGAACCTTCAATTCTGATACTAGTTAATGCCATGTTTGAGGATTTAAAGCCATTCTCTGGGGCAGCATTCCTGGATTGATTCGGAACCGATGCTGTGAAGATGGACCGCTTGACTTCTCAACGCTCGAATATCGTAAAGCACACTCATCTTGTCTCTCAAGTTAAAAGTCCCTTCTAATATTAAGATTTTAGTCAGTTCTGTATGTGTATACGGGTTAGTAACCTGCCTACCAGGCGTCACCAGCCACGCACACGTCTGGTGACTAGCAAACACGAAAAAATGCACATAAGCATAAATCCATATACTGAGTACTCCCTCAAATTGTGCTCCCCAGCTCGGTTTCCACAACTCGATGAATTTGAAATATACCTAAATCTGTAGCCTAGCATGTTTAATGGCGTACAATTTGCATATTTTTGGCCTTTAATTTCCTATCTCATAGGTGGATCCAAACCGTTAACTTTTCAGGCTTACTTCAGGGTTTACTCCAATAATTTCTATCGACTTTTCCTGAGTTCCATTTGTCCCTCAGGGCAAAATCTTCATTTATCTCCATTCTTATCGTATTCATTGTACTGTAGATTTACCGGAGCTCTTTGATCCTTGTGCTCATCGTTCTTCCAGTCTTTCCTGAAATACTTTGTTTACAGCCCTTGCAGTTTATGCTGTAAACTCCAGGGCACTCCATTTTGTTAACTTCTTCATGCTGTGTGGGCAAGCTGGTGAAGAGTTGTTTCTTCCTTGAGGATTGTTTGAATATTCCATCTCATTAGTAGCGGCCGCAGAATAGGAAGAAGGTCGGGAGATCGTCTAATTCTTCTTTTCCATTTGACCAAATCCGAAGTAGTCATCCAAATACAAGATAATTACTGCTGGTTGCTGAGAGGACGTTTAGAAATTTTCACTTAACCTATTCATATAGACATTAGTCAGCAGAGGTGTGATTGGTGAGCCAATAGGTAGAAATAATATTTCGTAGATAAGAAGACCGTGGAACGTGAAATAGGTAAAGTGGATTGACCTCGTTGTCGCAACTTGGTCTTGTTGATTTGGTACATTCTCAAACGTTTCTCCGGCATCATTAGTGAGGGCTGCGAACGCGTCAGAGAAAAGTGAAGTCAATCCTTCGACCAACGTTCTGCCGTTACACTATCACTTGTCTCTTTGACGAGTTCGTAGCTTGAAGCGGAGAATGGCAGCACTCATTGATGATGCCGACGACGATGCCGGCGAAATGTCTGAGAATTTACCAAGTCCACTGTCTGATGGTGGGAATCATTACAACTACTATGGCAGACGACTTCAGATTAGGTGCGTTCTACGAAGTCGTCCTGACAAAAAGACCAAGTTGCAACAACGAGGTCAACCCACTTCTATAAATCGAAAGGAGACAGAGGCCACGACATCTTGATCATCATATCTTCAGTAAAATAGGTAGTTCATATTGTTAGGTTGATTGTTGACTATTAATCTCAATGATTCTCTTTCTTTTTCCTTACTTTCGGCAAACCATATGCTACTGTGGCTATTGAATCCTTTCGCAAAATGAATTCATTGTCCACTTGTCGATTTCCCAGTTCACATTAATTTCCTTAAACATTGCTTGCCAAATGCTTTTAACTGTTGGGTCTTTTATTAGCAGTCGACAATATTTCCCATTTTCTCTGTATATTCCTTCCAGCCCATCACTACTGCGACACCTTCCTTGTTGGCTTGTAAGCAATTTGATCTTTTCTTTTTAATCCACTACATATCTTGGTTACATTATTCCAATTCGTGGGTTCTTGATGTGCCAAGATTGTTGGAATGATTTCCATTTCCAGTTCTCTTTCTGAATCTTCTGATAGCTTTCCAGAGATAATTAGCATTATTAAAATGTTATTAGTTGCCTTCCTTTAACCCCGAAATGCAAAATTTAATCTCTTCTATAAGATCATCGTAGTTTTAAACTCATGAAGGATGAAAGGCAGATTCAATATTTAATCTTTATCTCATGTCTGAACTGTGAAAGACTACTTTGTTTTTGCCGGGTAGTATGACCTTGGGTTGTATATAGATCCCAAATTTATTAAGCTTCCTATGTTGCCTTTTTTCCATCAAGTCAGACATCCTTTTCGGATTTTGTGTCATCTTCTGTATTTTTAGGAAATCCACTAGTGAAAATCCAACTCAGATCATTCCTGAGTCTAAACTTAATATCTAAAATGGAAGATCTGAAAACCAAGATGGTGTGGCCTCCGGTATGTTCGCAGTCTCCGTTCGATTTATAGTAGTGGGTTGACCTCGTTGTCGCAACTTGGTCTATTTGTCAGGGTGACTTAGTAGAACGCACCTGGTCCTAAGTCCTCTGTCATAGTAGTTATCCTAATTCCCAGCATCATACAGTGGACTTGATACTTTCTCAAACGTTTTCAGGCATCGTAGTCGGCATCATCGGTGAGTGCTGCCATTCTCCGCATCAAGCTACGAACCCGTCAGAGACAAGCGAGTGATAGTGTAACCATTTCCGACAAAACTTTGCTCGAAGGATTGACTTCACTTGTCTCTTTGAAGGGTTCGGAGCACTCACTGATGGCGCCGGCGAAAGGTTTGAGAATGTACCAAGTCCACTGTCTGATGCTGGGAAGTATGATAACTACTATAGCAGAGGACTTCGGACAAGGTGCGTTCTACTAAGTAACCCTGAAAACAAGACCAAGTTGCGACGAGGTCAACTACTACTTAATATCTAAAAGCCTAAATAATTTTCCCCTCTTCTTATCATATGTATCCTTTAATTTTGGCATAGAAATTTGATATAATATATCATTAACCCTGTCGGAATGATATTTTCTCATCAAATTGCAAAAACTAGAAAGGATGTCATAATGTTTACAACAATGAAGAAAGTTCAAGTGACAAGATCGACTTACAACTGTCTCCTTTTATCTGCTTTATTCAGTGCACTGTCCGAAAATCTTACGCAAGGATATTTTAAGCAAAAAGCATACTAGCTAGGCCACCACGGTTTATCCTCCTGCTCTTTCCGTCTCTCCTGTGATCCACTATGTTTAAACTCTGCTATTACGCTCCGTCTTCAGTGAATCTTTTTCTATTCTCTTCTCTATATTGTAATTTAGTTAGTTCTAGAGGGAACTTAGTGACAAGACTTTTCCTTCTCTATTTATACCAAAAATTCCAATGATCTATTCTGAAGCCAAGCACAAGCTTTTCTTTTTAGTGACATTCTTGATCTCAACAAACTATTCCTTAAGCAAAATTACCAAAGCCAAGAAAGGTAGCTAGCTGAAATCCCGAATACACACTTAAGAATTTTGCGATCTTAATGAAGCAGCCGCTGATTTGATTAGCTGTTTCATACTTACCTTAAATGCTTGCATATGACTTGTCCTAAAGTGAAGTTAAGGGGATATGAAGATATGAAGACGAAGATGTTGTGAACTCTGGTATGATCGCAGTCTCATTTCGATTTACAGAAGTGGGTTGAACTCGTTGTCGAAACTTGGTCTTGTTGTCAGGGGGACTTAGTAGAACACACTTAGTCCGAAGTCGTCTGTCATAGTAGTTATCATGATTCCAAGCATCATACAGTGGACATGGTACATTCTCAAACGTTTCGCCGGCATCGTAGTTGGCATCTGAGAATGTAACAAATCCACTGTCTAATGCTGGGAATCATGACAACTACTAGGACAGACGACTTCGGACTAGGTGTGTCCTACTAAACCGCCTTGACAACAAAACCAAGTTGCGACAACGAGGTCAACCCACTTCTAAAGGGGATATCGTCCAAAAATTGTTTCCTTTCGTAAATCTAGAACGGTTTAAATCTACAATGATGGTGCGTGTCCAGATAGCTGATTGCGTCTAATGTTTGGAATACTCACGCACCAATTAATCTGACTCCAAACTGACAAAACCTCTTACTGGCTGGCTTGTGCTGCTACATAATCGTAATTTTATTCTACACTCAGTAGTTTTTGTCTAATTCCATACACTACTTCTGTTTATCCAGGTTGATTGCTTCGATTTCATTTAACCATGAAATATTAATGTACAGCAGAACATTTGGTTATAAACCACTTTAAAAGATGTCTAGTATTTGGCCGAGGTCCAACTAATTAATTTCTTGACCAATAGATCTGGACGTGCGATTTTTTGTCCGATAGTCTTTTAAGTATGGACCTACAGACCCCCAAGCCTCTCACAGACAGATTCTAACGTGTGTGAAGGAAATCTTATAAGAACCCGATATCAAGTCATAACATTCTCCAAAAGAAGGCATGACAGAGGAAAATATCGATCTCTTTTTATACATAGTCCTATGGTCTCACTACCCAAGTATATAACCGATATTCCCTTAAAGCTGACAGGATCGTAGCATCAGGAATCTAACCAAGTGATCCAGTACTGTTTTTGCCTCACTACTTGTTTCCCTTCAACCCATACTGTGGATTACTTGATAAGTAATTTCAATTATTCCTAACGAATTCATTGCTTGGTCCCTGTGATTTGTATTCGTATTGAGTAGGCT